CCAGAAGGGGGTTCTTCTCTCTTCCCGATTGGGAAGGAAATTGGGTGATGGAGGTGGGGGCCCAAGGGCCGACGAGGAAGGAGGCCTGCTTTCCACGTCCCTGTCCTCTCTGCTTTTCTCCCTCTAACAGGCATCGGGGACCCGCGCAGTGGTCGCAGCCAGGACGCGTGCTGCCAGCAGGCGCGGCGGCCCCGGGGACGCCCAGCCGGGCTAGCGAGGCCCAGGACTGGTTTCCAGGTCCTGGACCAGGACCCGGGTGCTCTCGTCCCGCTTTCCGCTTGCCCCATTAGAACTCCCACACTTAAGACCAAAAACCAGCAGAGAGGGGAGCCGGCCCTTAACCAGACCCTCCCCGCCGTCCTCTTCTTCCAGAGCGCCCCTGTGCCGCACGCAGCCAGCGCTAGGAATCGAATTAAGCGCCTCTTGGCGGTTATTGTCTCTCGCTAATTGCTCCAACAATGGCCACTATTAAAATGGAGACACCCAATTAAAGGCCCCGCCGGGCAGCGCTCGGCTCCGGGCGACGAACTGGCCGCCAGCCTGGAGCTTGCAGACCGCCCCGCCGCGAACCGGGCCGGTGTGGGGCGCCGGCGCCGGCCTCGGCACCTCTGGCCCCCACTTCCTCCCCAGACGCACAGCAACCGCGGCCGGTTCACACCATTTTTATTGACCGATCGCAGCCAAGGAAGATTGATCGAGCTGGAGTGGGAAAGGACTTCTCCTCCCCCCAAGCCCCGGCTCGCCAGGGCCTCGGGGCCGCGCTCCAATTTCTGGCCTTCGCTGTAGCTCTGCGCCCTCCCTGCCCCCAGCCCCGCAGGTTCCCGGCTTCATTTCTGTCTTTAACTGCGCGGCCGGGTCCGCCCAGGCCGGCGCCGAGGCTCCGGGGGGAGGGACGCGGCGTCGCGGCCCGGCTCCGCTTCTTTCTCCTGCCTGCAAATATTTGCTGCCTCGCTGGAAATCCGACTATTTCGCGCGCGCTCCGCTTGCAAAGTCCTTAAGTAAACACGCTCAAATGACCGCCCCAGGCGGTCCGAAGCACGCTCACTCCCCCTGCGCGCCGGATTAGTAACTTTATGACTTGGACCCCGAGGCTCGGCTCTCCGGTTGTCCTCCGCGGGCAGCGCGCGGGCGCCCGAGGCCGCTTCTCCCGGCACCTCGGCCCCGCGGAGCTCGCCTGGATGCGCCGGTCGCCAGGCTCGGGTGGGGCACGCTGGCCGCGTGGATCTCCGCTCTCTGGGTCCTGCGACCCCAGGGGTGAGCCTGGGGGCACGCAACTCCCCTCTGCGCCGCGGGCTCCGGTTCCTTGGCGGGACTGGGTGTCCCACTTCCTTCGGGACGGAGCCTGGGCAGCCTCGGGAGGGCGGGTGGGAGGGACCTGAACTTGGGCATGTGTCTAGGGGGGTGTGTGTGGGTCCCAGCTCACCCTGACCGGGGAGAGAAAGTTAGGTTCCATTTCTTACCCTTTCCCCAAGAGGGCACACACACCCCACTCAACTTGACGCCTGCAGCAGCCGCCTCGAGGCCTGGCGTTTCGGATAGGCCGCACTGGCTCCCGCCGCCCCCGCAGGGCCCTGGGCCCGGGATCCTGAGCCCCGGCCGGGGGCTGTGCTATGGCTCGCTCCGCTCCGGGACGCTTGCCCCCAGGGTCCCGGGCATCCAGGCCGTTCGACAGCCCCTTACCCTGGTGAGGGAGGCCTCGCGCCCTGTAGGAGCCCAGGGCCCCGCAGCGGCGGCGGCGGCGGCGAGATCCTCCTGGGTCTCCTCGCTTCCTCCACCGGCGCTGCGCCGGCTGCTCCCGGGGAGGCGGGGGGCACTCGCTAGACCGGGCCCGGGCCGGGCTTCCTGGGGAGGGGGCCGTCAGGGCTGCTGGAGGGCGCTGAGGCGTCTCTGCAGGAGGCCAGGATCCCAGCTTTGCGGGCTACGGCCGCGGGGGGAGTCTGGACCACCTTTCCCCCCCTTCTCCCGGCCTCGAGCCCCCTCCCCTCCCCCGCCCGCCCCGGGAGGAGGAAGCCCGGCCTGCATTTGCCGGCGAGGCGGGTCAGGCCGGCGCCTGGCCTGGCTCAGACCCCCGCAGCCCGGCTCTCCGCCTCAGGCCACACACTTCAGCCTTTCTCCGGCCTGGCTCCCTCCCTCCCTGCTTCCCCACGGATCCCGGGACGGACCTCGGCCCTCCCTCCCCTGTATCCCCCTCCCCTCCTTTTCCCTACCCACCCCCCCTTCTCTGCACTCCGGGCTCTGGGGCTGGGCCCGTGACGTCAAACCCAGTGTGGCGTCGGCGAGACTGGCCGGCGCGGGCCATCAAAAGAGCAACGTCCTCTTTCCCAATTACCCACTGTCAGTCCGGGAACAGGGGCGGACCGGCTGGGAATTAAATGTTAAATACCCCCTACAGGCTGGCTCCATTACACCGGGCATCCAGCCGCAGCCCCCCACGCCTCTCTGCCAGCTTCAAACCATCCAGACCCAGGGCCTTCGAGATCTTTTATTTTTCCAAGGTGTGGGGAGAGGGAGGAGGCGGGGGTGCGGGAGGACTCTCCATCGCTGTGCCGCCCGACTCGGTGCTTTTAATTAAAACGAATAGTGCCCGTCCCCACGTTCTGTGCCTTATCGGAGAGGGGCCGCGCCGCACGGGAAGGCCTGGTTCCCACAAATATTTTCCCTTTGTCTTTTAAAATTGTTCTAAGCTCACAAGTTAACATTTTCAGGTCCTGGCGTCAGCAGTTTTTTTTCTCCCGGGGACGGCTCCCTTTTTCCTTTTCCCTGGCTTCCAGGTCTCGGGCCAGAAAGCCACGTTTGGGATTCCCCGCGTGACTTTGAACCGGGGTCCGGGTCTAGCATCGCCTCGTCCGGGGCTGACGCGCCATGAAGCGCTTTTCTTTCTTTTCTTTTCTTCAACCCCCCCTTCCATCCTTCATCTTAATCTCGGGGACTTTTAGCAAAAATGTGTGCGCGCTGGTCCGTCCTTGTTTATGAAGCGGTTTCCGGTGGATGGTAGACAGAAACTAAATAATTAAAAGGTTTGGAGAGCCCCGTGAGCAGCAGGAGAGGCTGGCAGCTAGGCTGGCTCTAGAGAGAAGTGGTCAGAGTGAAAAGAAAAATCGATGCTTCTTTACTGGGCCGCCCTAATAAACGGGAACTAAATGGGCTCAGGAGAAACGTGGGGGGAGAGCAGTGCGTGCATGTGTTTAATTTTAGGAATTTTCTTCCTGTCCCGTATCTAGAAACTCAACCCTGATTTCTAACAAACATCAGATTTAAGAAGACGGAAACTCAGGAGAAGCTCCAAATCCAAGATCGGGAGGACCCACGTTGCCACTACTCTGAAATAAATTTTACTAATCTTCCTACAAGGATTGTGTATTAAAACAAGACATCTCTCGCCCCCCACCCCAACACATACACCAAGTTAGGCTGAATATTGATGATTTTCCTTGAGCGCATGAAAGGAATCCTCCAGAACTTACTTTTAGGGACGGTCTCTTGTATTTCGACTTTTTGTATTTGTAGGGAATTTAATGGGGGAGAGGAGCGAAGAGGGAATGATGGCTTCAGTTCTAATGAAACCCTAAATCCAGCTGTTAGTACCGTCCGTGGGATGGCCTGAGAGGGAACCCGCACGCTCCTTGCACACACTGCCCGGGGGTGAGCGGAGGGTGGAACCTGAGTTTTCCCTTCCCGCCTGACCCCTGCTCGCCCCGGCCGCGTTTTCGGGACCGGCGGCTGCAGGAGCCCGGGCGCCGCTAGGGGATGCAGTGGCTCAAAGGACCAAGCGAGGCCGGGGAGGTTGGAGCCCGCGGGGCCGGCCAATCGCGGCCCGGCCACAGCCTCGCCCGCTGATTGGCCCCTTCCTGTCCCCGCCCCGCGGGCCCCGCCCTCTCGCCGGGGCTTCTGGAGCCGCGCCCCCTCCGCCCGGGTCTGCCGGGCCGAGCGGGGCCGAGCGAGTCCGGGGAAGGTCGCTGCTGTCCTGCCCGCCGGCGGGGATGGGGGGAGGTGGAGGGGGCTGGTTCCCCGGCCGGGGAAAAACGCCGGGAGCCAGATCGAGTAGGGCCCTGGGCGGGGTGGAGGGAAAAGTTGGGTAATTGGAAAGAAGCCCCGAGTGCGTTCTTTGCAACCGCTCCCGCCCTGCTCGGGGGCTGGTGAGCGTCTCTCTCCCCCCTTCATTTCCTTCCATCCCTGCTGCCCCTCGAGTGAGAAGCACGCACAGATGACAGACACCGGGTCCGGAAGGGACAGATGCGGCGGCGGGAACGTCCCTCCGAGGGGCTCGTGAGCACAAAGGCTGGGGAAAATGTTGACAGCGACCGCCCAAGTCCGGCGGACGTTCCGGGACGCTTCCCTCTTGCCCCAGCCCTCAGTCCCTTAGGCAATTCTCTCCAGAGACAAATCTCAAAAGGACTTTGGCCTTAAAAAAATTTTTTTTTTCTGATCAGTTTTATATGCACATAGCCCCAAATCAATAACCTCCCCAATACCCTGGACTGAGTCTAAAAACAGTTTCCTTGTGCTGGTGGTCGTTGAAAGTCTGAGACAGAAAGGCCGCCTGTAGAAATGGACTTTATGAATGGGGCAGGCCGGTCTCCCCGGCGCGGAATCAGCACCAGGGCCGGAATGAATTGGCAGGAGCGGGAGCCACATTTAAAGGGCCAGAGCGCGAATTCCCTCCTGCCCGCCCCCTCCGCCCCGAACCCTGCGGGCCTCGCCCACCAGCCCCGCCGCCCCTCCGCCCCGGCCGCCCTCCGCGGCGCCCCCCTTCCGGTCAGCGGAGGGGCGGGAGCAGGGGCGGAGGGGTGCAGGGGGGTGAGGTCCTGGAGCGGGTTTGGGTTGCAGTTTCCTTGTGCTGGTGATCCTGTCCCCTCCTCGCCAGCGCCAGGCTCCTCCCCCTCGGCGCGGATGACACTAGAACCTCCTTAAGTTGCGTCGCGCCACAGCTGTCTGCGAACACTGAGCTGCCTGGCGCCGTCTTGATACTTTCAGAAAGAATGCATTCCCTGTAAAAAAAAAAAAAAAATACTGAGAGAGGGAGAGAGAGGAAAAGAGAGAGAGAGACGGAGAGCGCGCGCGACAGAGCGAGCCACGCAATCTGACCGAGCAGTTTCTGCTCTCCCAGGTCGCACGCCACCTCCTCCTCCTCTCTGCTCCTCGCTACCAGGTTGGTACTGGCAACTTTTTTTTTTTTTTTTAAGTTTGGCTTTTTTTTTTTTTTCCCTTGCTCCATTTGGGAGGGCTTTAAAACACTTTCAACTTAGCCCTCCTCTTTTGGAGAGTTGCTGGAGGCCTGGAAGGCAGGTCCCGGGATCGCTGTCCCCGGGGGCTGGGGGGGAGCTGTCGGCCGAGCTGCAACCGCTCAGCCGGTGCAGGGCCCTCGGGAGGGAAGGCCCGGCTGCCGGGGATGGACCTGGGAGTCGTTCCCTGGGCGGCCGCGTCCCGGTTGGCCTCGCTCGGGAGGAGGCGTGCGCGTGTGCGCGTGTGTGCGCGTGTCCTGGGTGCGCGGGCGCGGGGCCGGGCGGCTCGCGGGGAGGTGGTGCCACTTCATAAACTCAGGTGCTCAAGTACTCAGGAGCTCATCCAGGTCTCCCCCTCTCTCCTTCGCAGGTGACCCGAGGAGAGCCTCAGCCTCGGAGCCGCTGAGGGAGCCCCGGTGCAGAAGAGACTCCCTTGCAGAATTCCAGCCACCTTCGCTCGCCCTCCCCCCTTTTAGGACTTGGTCCCCCTTTATCCTTCCGTACCTATTTTTTGGAATTTCTTTTTTCTTCCCCTTCTTCTCTTAACTACTGCTTACAGATTTTTTTTTTTTTAAATCTCCTTTGCTTACTTTTCCTTCCCAGCGTTCCCATTCCCCCACTGAAAACAAATCATTAACCGACCCCCGCCCCTCGGACGGCAGGAGCACCTGCAGAGCCTCGGAGCCCCCCCGATCCTCCAGCCCGACCGCCCTCCCTCTCCGCGCGCGGGTTCCGGGCCTGGCGAGAGGGCGCGAGCGCAGCCGGGGCCATGGAGGTGACGGCGGACCAGCCGCGCTGGGTGAGCCACCACCACCCCGCGGTCCTCAACGGGCAGCACCCGGACACGCACCACCCGGGCCTCGGCCACTCCTACATGGACCCGGCGCAGTACCCCCTGCCCGAGGAGGTGGATGTACTTTTTAACATCGACGGTCAAGGCAACCACGTTCCTTCCTACTACGGAAACTCAGTGAGGGCCACGGTGCAGAGGTACCCTCCGACCCACCACGGTGAGTCCGCCCGGGGCGCCGGGACCCCCCGCCCAGCCGCCGCCGCTCCCCGCCGGGTCGGGGAGGCGGGGAGGGACGAAGGGGTGGGGAGACCCAACGAAAGCCCCCAAGTGCCGTTCCTGCTACAATTAAAAAAAAATTGGGGCCCGGAAATGGGCGAGGAAGCAGCCTCAGTCGCCGCGAGAGTGTGTTTTTCAAAAAGTCGCAGCAGGCGTCTCCGCGGCGGCTGTGCCCGGGGCCTGGCGCTCACCTGGCAGGCGCCCGACTGCAGCCCTCTCTCCCCGCGCCGCCGCAGGTTCGGGGGGCGGGGGCGCCTCCGGCTCCAGGGCTCCGGGGCTCCGGGAGCCGAGCCTCTGCTTCTGCGGCTGCGGCTCCGTGGGCCCGCAGGCGGCGCCGGCCGAGCCCGGCTCGGGCTTGGGTCCTTCGGAAAGGGCTTCGCTCCCCCAGTTATCCTGGAGTTCTTTCTCGGGGTGGGGTGGGGGGCTACTGCCAGCGTGCCTCAGTTTCTTTTTTGGGCACATGTTCAGAAAGGCCCGAGAGAAATTTAATCCGCATCCCTGTTTCTTTTCTTTTCTTTTCTTTTCCTTTCTTTTCTTTTGACCTTTCTCCGAAGCTAGTGCATTTGGTTCCTGGGCAGGTCTGGTACCCCTTGGCTCTGAGGAGTGACATTCTGGTACTTGAAGGGGTTTGGGTGGGGAGGCTACTGTGTTAAACGGGAGATTCCCGGCTGCATAGAATTTTCCTGCGTCTTGGCTTTTAGGTTGCCGCATTCCCTGCTCCCCCCAAACCTTGCCTTACTCTCTCCTCTGGCCTACCACAGTCCCCTGAGGCTCCCAAAGAAGATTTAGGATCCAACGGGGTTTCTTTCTTATGTGGGAGCGATTCCCACATAAGAAAGAAAAGTTGTCTTTTCTTTTCTTTTTTTCCTTTCTCTTTCACCTTTGAATAGTTTCGCCGCTTTCTAAAAGGTTAAGAACTCTAGCCTTGTGCAGTTAGGGGGGGAAAAGCTCTAAGATTTCCAGCGTAAGTGAGTTCCTAAAGAAGAAACAGAGGCACAATCTCAGGCAGAGAAAATGGGAGTCTCTCCTAGTCTGGGCGACTGAGGTCTTCCTTGGTCCCCCTACTTAGAGCCTGCATTGGCGACGCGGGTGACAGAGCCCCTCGCGGCAGGCGTCCTCCGCCCTGCTGTCACCAGGTTTTAAACAATTGTTTCTGCGGATGGGGCGCTCTTTGCCCTCCTTCTGTGCAGATCAGCAGTTAAGTGGAAATGCGGTAGATGCAGACTTAATATTATTTACTATACTACTTCCTGCATAACATTGAATCTTGACCCTTGGCGTTCAGAGAGCTCTCCTTCCCCCTCCCCTCCCCTTCCTCTCTCAAGATTTTAGTTTCAGTATTGTTCTTCATGGTTAAATAGAATGTCAGATGCTGAGGCAAGTAGTGGATTAAAAGATCAATAAGTGTGTGGATTTGCACTTAAAGTCTGCATGGGCCCCTCTCAGGGTGAGTGGACGTGCCTGAGTCATGGCCATCCGAAAACTGTGTCTTTTGAATGCTCTGGGGAGTGAAAGATACATGTCAACAGGGATTTTGTGTTGCAGGGGCTCAGGTGAAAATTCTCCAGTGGCACTGGTGGCATCCCAACTTTGAGGGCAAATTTGGGGTTTACTTTATTTTCCTTCTGTAGGATTTGGGAGGGTGAAAAGGCAGGATCTAGCCTTGGAAACTTCCTCCAACAGTCTGGGTGATGAAAAGGTCCTTGCAAATCCCAGTTCGGGCCTTGCAAGTTATGAGCAAGCGCTGAAGCAGGGTTACTGGAAAGTAACCCCAAAATGCCCCCTCTCCTCCCTTCCCTGTGAGCACCCTCCTTCCTGCCCTGGGCCTTGGGAGTGGGGCCTCTCTCCGGGTCCATGTCTTTTCCCGGTGTGGAGCGGTGGTTTGGCCAGGCTCGCCCATCAGGCCTCATTATTCACAGCCCACTCTTATCAGCCTGGCTGGGATCAGGTCTGGGGTGGGGGACTCTGGGCCATTGAAGGAAACCAATAAATCAAGTCAAGTTCCAGAAAGGGACCTCTGGGATGCCGCTTAGAAAGGGTATCTAGAGAGACCAGATATGCCCAGGGGCTCTCTCCACTCCCTCCAAGCATCTCTTGGGTGTCAGACACAGGCCCCTAATCCTGCTGGATTTGATGGGACCTTCGTGTAGGAGATACGGGTGTAAAGTGCGTGCTGGCCAAGGTGCTCGGGCCAGCCTGGGGGAAGGAGTGGGCCTGCTCTGGGGTCCAAGGTGAGTTTGGGTCTGGCCAGGCAGGAGGAGGACCCCCAGGTGTGTCTGAGGGCCTCCGAAGCGGCTCTCACTAAGCGGCTCTCACGGGCATTTCTCTGTCCTGTCTCCCCCCAACCCCTTTCCCGCGCAGGGAGCCAGGTGTGCCGCCCGCCCCTGCTGCACGGATCCCTGCCCTGGCTGGATGGCGGCAAGGCTCTGGGCAGCCACCACACCGCTTCGCCCTGGAACCTCAGCCCCTTCTCCAAGACGTCCATCCACCACGGCTCCCCGGGGCCGCTGTCCGTCTACCCCCCGGCCTCGTCCTCTTCGCTGTCGGCGGGCCACTCCAGCCCGCACCTCTTCACCTTCCCGCCCCCCCCGCCGAAGGACGTCTCCCCGGACCCGTCCCTGTCCACCCCGGGCTCGGCCGGCTCGGCCCGGCAGGACGAGAAAGAGTGCATCAAGTACCAGGTGCCGCTGCCCGACAGCATGAAGCTCGAGTCCACGCACTCGCGGGGCAGCATGACCACCCTGGGAGGGGCGGCCTCCTCGGCGCATCACCCCATCACCACGTACCCGCCCTACGTCCCTGAATACAGCTCCGGACTCTTCCCGCCCAGCAGCCTGCTGGGGGGCTCCCCCACGGGCTTCGGATGCAAGTCGAGGCCCAAGGCGAGATCCAGCACAGGTAGGAACCTTCTCCGCCGCCACCCCCATCCCCCCAAACTCCGGAGCCTTTTCTCCTCTTCTCACCTCTCCCTTCTCCTAAATCCAGGGCAGGGAGGAGGGAGCCGAAGGCTGGCCCCTCAGGGGAGCTGGCTGGTGTTCCAGACCCTTCCGAGATTTGATTTCTTCTCTTTCTTCCAGCAGGGCGAAAGAATGAGGTGTGTCCTATCTCATTCCAGTCCTCAGAGCCGAGGGGAAGTGGGATCTAATTTACCGCCCCCCCCCCTCCATGAACTGGGGAAGGAAAAAGACAAACAAAAACAAATTACCCTGTCCTGCCTGCCTGGGGACCTTTGGGTTCTACCAGTAACCTTTAGTCAGTTTCCAAGACCAAATGGAAAGCCCAGGGAATAAATCTTTAGTGTTTAATGCTAAAACGAAACCTCCTTAAACCTAAACAAACGGGTCCCTCCTTTGACCCCCCTGGCCTCTGTGGCCTTCTGCCTGTTCTTCTGGGCTCAGCTCCGTGGGGGTCATGCAGGCAACAGAGGACAGCCCTTTACACAGACATGGGTAAATAAAGCCTGTGTATATTTGGGGGGATGTGTGTGAAAAGCAGGACCCTGGCAAAAGCAGCACACGTGTTCTTTGCGTGGAAGAGGGGGCTGTCACCCTAAGGGAGGTGGGCTGTGTCCAGGGGAAACTGGAATGAAAATCAAAAGCCCAGGGGGCCAGTCACCTGTGGTGGCAACACAGGCCCAGGGCAGGAAGGCGTCTCAGGACCTCTTCCTCGACTGATCTGAAGCCAGCGGAGGTAGGAAGGACAGGACTACGTTCCCTAGGTGTGGGTCTCCGCGTCCTCTGCCCATCCTCTCTCAGAAAAGCACCCCCTGTCTAAAAGAGCGGGGTGTCTTTAATCTCTGGCTGTAGACACGCGCTTTAAAAAAAAAAAAAAGAGGCAACACCCAACCCACACAAAATATTTTAGCTTTCAAAATAAAATAATCCATCGCCAGTGTTGCTTCTAATCAAAGGAGTCGGGAGACCTTGGGATTCTTCTCTCAGATGAGGTTTAGCTATAGTTTAAAAGATTATTTTTCAAAGATTGTTCTGTCTCCTTGGGTGGGTCCATTTCGAAGTGGGTCTGTCTGTCCTGGCTCATTCCAGCATGTCACCTCTGCCCTCTATCTATAGAGATCCTATATACAAAGAAGTGGTGAAAATCTCTTGTCTTTTCTGGGTGGGACGAGCCGTCTTGAAACCCGGGCTAGCAAAAACCCAGGTTTGAAAAACTTCCGAGGGGGTGCTCCGGGAGCCCAGTGACCATGAGATCAGTTTTCAGGGTTTTTTTCCAGGGTGACATTCACTCCGACTGCCTGGGCAGGACTGTCTCTATTTAGTTGATATGTTTGAGCTAATCCAATTATTTTCAGACTGCCGCACGCGACAGTTGCATTGTTTATCCCGCGCCAGGAACTTTAATAGAGTCCGGATGCGGTTAGGCTGACAGAAAAACTCAGACCTGCATGTTCAGTACATGAAAGTCGGCAGAGGGAGAGGGAGGTAGGCTCGCTGGTGGAGTCAAAGAGAAAGCAAGAGGAAGGGAGAACAGGCAGAGGAAAGTGGCCCGGCTGCCTCACCGGGGGGCTGGGCTTGGGCCTGGAGTGGAGGGTTCCGGAGAAGTGGGGTTCACCTTGGCTCAGAAAAGCGGGGATTAGATCAGAGCTTGAGGACTGATAGCAAAGAGAGCAAACCGACGCATTTCGCATTTCGAGCTAGCGATGGGATTTTTTTTTTTTTTAAAAGTTCTCTTTTCTGGTAGCGCAGAGTTTTTTTTGGGGGGGGGAAGATCGTGGTATCTGAGGCTGGGGTGGTGGTTTGAGTGGGGGAAGGGACAGAACGACTTTTCCAGAGCCTCTGGTTTCTCTCCCCACTGGGGGCACACCTTTGGCCTTAGGCTGGTCTTTTCTGAACTTTCACTCTTTCCTCAAGCCCCTGAACATTTGGGGCGGGTGGGAGGAAGAGCTGCACTTACCCTAAACCGGAACCAGGAACACCTATGGGCCTATTGTACTTTTTTTTTTTTAACTTTTTATATATTATTATTATTATCTTGGTAGGTGGGGAGAGGAGAGAAGACATTGCAATATGGCTTTTTTTACCTCCTCCTTCTTATTCCTTTCTCACAGTCAGAAACCCCAAGGCTGCACACCTGGGCAGCCAGGGAGCTGGGACTTTTGGGAGTGTGGGAGTGGGGAGGAGGGTTTCTAGACCTTTCTAGGTAGAGAGGGTGGAAATGGCAGCAGTTCTTCAGGGAGTTCTCTGGGGTTTAGTGGTTGCTTTTTTTTTTCTTTCTTTCTTTCTTTCTTTTTTTTTTTTTGAACTCTGTGCAAATGCATTTGCTGAAGGTGGAAACGGGAGAAGAGAGGGTTGTTGCATTTTGGAGGAACGGTTGAAGCAGTGGTTAGGGTACCTCGTGCTTTCCTAACGCCAAGGCTGTCAGTGCTGGGTCTCCCTCTACAAACAAAAGACAAAGGCTTTTAGCGAAGGGCCCTTTCTTGGCTCCCCCACAAGACTCCTCTGACTGTGGGCATCTCCCCCCACCTTCCCCTTCGTAGACTCGGGCCCAGCTCCGACTCCTTCCAAGCCAGCCCAGGTCTCAGAATTTCAGCTGGAGACCAGGGGGCTGGGGGTGTGTTTGAAAATGGCTGTCGAATGTCAAGAGGCCTCACAGCTCTGTGGTTCTTGTCACCTAAGAGAGAGAGGTGTCTGTCTGAGCAGCTCACACCAGGCAGTGAGCGAGCAGAGGGAAAGAAACCAGGAGAGTCAGGGCCTCCATTAGGAAAATTGGTTGTTTGCTGAAGTCACAGACTAGAGGCAACAATGAGACAAGAAAGAAAAAAAAAATAAGAAAAAGCCAGACAAGGCAATCGCAAACTTGCGGAGTGAATCAAGACAGAAAATTGCTCTAGTGTGCGGAGCCTGGCTGAAGAGGCAACTGTTGCTAGTCTTGAAGGTCCCCCAGAAAAGGAAGCTGTCATCCTCCCCACTGGCTGACAAAGGAGAGGAAATCAGACTAATCGCGTCAGGCCGGGAGATCCCCCAGCCCCCGGTGCCTAGGAGCAGGGCTGCGGGCAGGCCGCAGCGGGGACTCCACCCGGAGCTGGGGCTCCGGGAGGGGAGGGGAGGGAGGAGGGGGCCAGCGAAACCTCGCCCCAGCCCTCCCTGCCCCGCAGGAAAGGGACAGAATGACAAGGGACCTGAGAGGACTCTATCTTGGCCGGATGGGGAGTAGGCCTGCCGCTCCCCAGGGCCAGCACAGGCCGATGTCATTGCCCCCAGAAGGGGCTGACCCGGTGCCTGCGTGGGGCACTGGGACTGCGGGGAGGGGGGGCCTGCCCACCCCCTTGGCTAGGCAGCAGGAGGCACCTTCTCGCCCACTCGCCCTTTCCTCCTTCCCCCCTGCCTCCCCCTCGGCCCGCCACCAAGGCAGTAGGCTTCCGACTCCAGCATCGATGTAATATGGTCCCAAGACTTTTCAAGGACAGTTAGATCCTGTTGGGTACCCGAACCTGAACGTGGTACCGGGCTCAGTAGCGCCCGAGTTTGGGGAGAACGCCAGTGGCTCAGTGGCTCGTGGCAGGCTCTCTGTGGACCCTGGGTTGAACAGCTTTCTAGAATTGGTGGGGAAAAAATACGTATATCTGTATACTTAGATATAACTCTTTACAATCTTTTTTTTTTTTTTTATTTTTAAAAGGAAAATGGACAAAAACTAGTCAGCACCATTATGAACTCCAATGTCAGACAAAGTCCTCCATTTCTAAACGTCTTTTTCCTTCCCCAGAACCTGTCCCTGGAGGAGAAAAACAAAAAAACCCAAGCTTATAGGTGTGAACCCCCCACATCCTTCATACTTGGCCTAGGATTTCCAAAAGCCAGACAGGTCCCCACACCAGCCTTGTGCTCCCGCTGTAGGGAGTCCTCCAGATTCCCAAACAGCCTGCCCCGTTCTCTTCCTCCATTCTGTCTTCTGGGTAGTTTAGAATTAGCTGATTAATCTCATAAAACGAAACAACCCTTAGGGGCTCATCTTTGTCCCCTACCAGCCTCCCAAACCTCCCAGCTAGCACCCCCAGAGAAAGTGAAACCCTCTCCCCGACTCCTCCTCTTGGGAGCTCCTGGCTCCTGCAAGGGTCTGGGGTGGGGAGCAGGGGTGGGGGCTGAGGGGAGGGAGCTCCTCCCAGTCTGGCTGGGTTGGCAGAGATGCCGGTACAGGCCCGCCTGGAGGGGAAGGCCCCCCAAGAGCTGGGCAGGCTCTCCCAGAAACTGTCCTCCCTTCCCTTCTCCCGCAGAATTTGGAAAGAAATCAGTGAGCCAAAATCCCCCGTGGTGCTAAAATGGTATTTTGAGGGATTCTCTCCAGGAGCTTTTCCCTCCGGAGTTGGGTCTGGGTCATTCTCCTGCCCCCGGACTGAACCGGCCTGGCCGGTTTTTTGTTTATTTTGTTTGTTTGTTTTTTTGGAAAAAGAGCAACTGCAGGAAAGCCTTGGTTAATGAGCCCGCTGACTTGAGAGGTCGCCCCCCCCTTTTTAATTGGCCTGTTCTTCCCTCCCGCCAACATTTCCAAGCCTATTTCCCTCCAACACCTCCAGGCTCGGTCCAGTTGGGGTCCTACTTTGCCTTCAGTGTCTGTCACAGTGGCTGGCAAGTCATAGAAGACCTTGGCCTTTTCTAGAGAGAGAGAAAATGTGGTGGGGGGATGAGTGGGGCCCCGCTGGGTCTTCGTCTTTATTTGCCAGCCAGGGACATTTCCGGTTTTATTGGAAGTCAAATCTAAAACCTTGGGTCTTCAGATCAATCAGCCCATTGACCAGTCTGTTCATCGATTTGTTATCTGTTGGTCTATCCAGCCGTGCATTCATTCCTCTTTCCTCTCTCCCCATCCTGATCGGCAGGATTTAATCCATCTCTATAGACAGACCCCACGGTGGTGGGGACACCTTCGTTTTCCCTTGAGGGCCCCGGAGGGGAATGTTTTGCTTTGCCACAGTCCAGGGCTTAGCCTTTTCTCAGGGAACTATTTCAAGTTGCAATCTGCCTTCTTTCTTCCCTGGGTGTACTTGATCTTCCCCGTCAAGTCAGGCCGCCCCGAGCAAGGTTGTGCTGCTGTTTATTCATGAGCTACTTCTTGGGGCGGGAGCTGGGCTTGCAGGAATGGTTAAGCTATGACAGGGCCAGAGGGTGGCTCTTCCCCACTTGGGCACCACCTTAAGGGAGGTGGGGGGTGTGGGGGGTGGGAAAGTTCCCCAATAGGGGGAGCAGAGAGGGGGAAAAAAAAGGTCCCAGTTTTACTCTCATTCCCTCCTTCTGAGTGCCGTCAGTGTTCCTTCCCTAAGTGACTGCTGTGTGGTCTTGTTTCCAGAAGGCAGGGAGTGCGTGAACTGTGGGGCCACCTCAACCCCCCTGTGGCGGCGGGATGGCACCGGGCATTACCTGTGCAACGCCTGCGGGCTCTACCACAAAATGAACGGACAGAACCGACCCCTTATCAAGCCCAAGCGAAGGCTGGTGAGTTCTCCAGAAACACAGATCCACCATGAACCATTGTGTGTTTTTAATTTCCTCTCTTCAGGAAGGAGAGCGTTCTGCAGGAAATTGGCAGGACAGCTCAAAATCATGTCAGCTTGCTTGGGATCCTTCCCCCCTCCCCCCTTTTCTTTTCTCAAATTAGAGCTACAGAAAAGCTCACTCTCTCTCCTTTTTCCCCTTCACATTTCCTAAGTCACTTAACAAATTTTTAAGGGTGCTGGCTTTTTGGTTATCGAACCTCTAATGTGTTTGCAAATAGAGAGCGGACCAGAGTAAGTGAGCTCAGATTCATTGATAATCGGAGAAATGTGTGCAGATGCAGGTACCAGGAACCGTCTAGAACATGTCCCTCAGCGGCAGGCCCCCGAGGAAGTGAGCAAGGCTCAGTGCCACGGAGGGGTCTCGTGTGCCCATGTTTTAAGATTGATGGGGCCAATTAGCTGAGGTTCACTAGCAGCAGCCACTGAGTCTAGCTGAGTTTTTCTTCTTTCCTGGTCTTAAGGATTGAGGATTTTCCACAGCTCAGGCCTTTGGGGAGAACTGTGGGATTCCTGTCTTGCCTCTTGGTCTCATGTAACGCTTGGTCCTATTTGCCCCTCGAGTCACTATGGGGAGGGTGATGGTTTTAATCCCCTCCTTCTTTCTTTCTCAAACATCTTGACCGCTAGGAGTACTTGAGCAATTTATAAGGAAGACTAGAAGGAGAAGTCCATTTGTGAACTTGTCTTTGGAACCTCAGGCTCGGACTGAAAAGCAAGTGTGTACAACAGGCAAATAAAAGCAGGCTTTTGGCAAAAGATAACCCTAACCACAGTTACGAGATCAAAATGCTTTTTGTGCTGATGACATTCACCAAGTAGAGAAGAGAGGAGGGGAATTTCCCCATGCAGATTAGTGGATAAAGCTGCATCCATCAGATTGGGAGGGGGGAAGGGGGGGGACGGAAACAAATCCTCTGGATTCTTTTTAAAGAATTATTTGTCATCTCCATCAGATTTGAGTGCAACTCAACACCTTTCACATCCTTTTCAGAAGAAGGAAAAACTTTCTAGGGATGGAAATGCCCACGTGACTTTAATTTCTGGCCATCCTCGGTCTCCCCGGCTTTATTCCTTCTGATCTTTGCCCCCTTCTCCAGCGCTCTCAACCTCCCCCTCTGGTCCCCCTGCACTTGGGTATTTTTTTTTCCTTTCTCTCATGTGCAAAGCTAACTTCCTAGGAAAAAGCTGCCGGATATCTGAGCACTGGAGATAACTCATAAACAACAACTCAGCTTCCCCAACCTAAACATCAAGATGTTTGAACATATCAGAACAAGTGTTTGAAAAAAAAAAAAAGAAAGAAAAGAAATGGCTGGAGGTGTTAGCCCAGAATGAATATGATCGCACCACAAAAGAATGTTCTGAATCACCCAAAACTGGCCTTCGTAAAAAAAAAAAAAAAAAAAAATAAGAAAGAAAGAAAGAAAGAAAGAGGCAAAGAAACAGAACTGACAACAAAAACTTTCTTGTTAAAATATGTCTTGGTACCATCCTTATAATTGGGCTTTTTTTTAAGGTTAAAAAAAAAAGAGAGAGAGAAAAGAGGGTGTAAAGCCTCAGACAATGGGCTGGTTGATGAGCAAGTGTGTATTTGACATTTTCTTGGGGTTTCTTCTGTCTGGGCAGACTGCATAGGAGGGCTCTACTTGCATTTTATGTAAGTCTGTCTTCATCTACCTTTCATAAGAAATCTCGAAAACTCTGAGTAATATTGCTTTGAATTCAGAGTTCATTGGCTGTCACATTTTCAGCTGTCTTTTCTTTCTTACTCATCTGTCCTGGGCAGTTTTATATTTTTAGTTCCACAGAATTCATAGGCTCCAGAGAGCTGCTCAAAACACATTCAGGATAGTTGTTTATTATTATTATTATTACTATTACTATTATTTAGCCCTTAGATATGTTTGCTTTCTGAGTACCTGGAACTTTCTTTGTCTCTTCCCTGTATTTCCTCTTCCTTCCTGCCACCCCTCCCTCCCCACCTGGCTATTTTGCCTGGGCCCATTGGCTCATTTGCTGCAGACCACCCAGCCCACAGTGTAGCCCGCCCCTCCAGAAGATGCCTGTCTACCCTCAAGAAACTCATGCAGGAAACCAAAGACATGACCGGAGAGGAGATCCCTAGAATATTTTTTTCCGAGTCTTGCCAGGGTTTTCGTCCGCCTGACAGCTAGCCGTGTCGAGCTTGCTTTATGAATGTGCTCTGTCTCCTGCTCGTGATCCAAACAGTGTGGCTTGGAGAGGTTGTGTAAATTTGCATCGAGTCTGTAGACCGGAGATATACTCCGAGGCCGCTCGTATTTACGTTACTGTCAATATACTGAGAAGGGCTGCACCGGGGACCCCCTTTTTTGGAGCTTGACTTTTACCGGCTGGCATTATGCGCTTGTAGCGCGCGTTTGAAGTTGCTGAGCTGGGAAATCCATGGGCCACGTAGATATTAACCAACTCTATCTCAGTATCTGTTTTCAATAGAAAAGCGCAGGAAGATAATAATAATGACAGGATAACATCGTTGTCAGAATCTTCAAGCACTGATTCTTGGTATCGTTCTCCTCCCAAGTGCATACAAGGGAAAGTTAGTCTGGCCTCTGCTCCAGGGTTCCGAAGGCAGGTAGGCACAGGCGTGTGGGGGTCAGAGGGGGCGCCCCTGGGCTCTGGGGAGCGGTTTCCAAGATGGACAGCCAGAAAGTAGGACTTTGTCAATGATGACAGAGAAGAGCTGTTTTAACCGCCCAGTTTTTTTTAGAACACAGAGAATACAGAATACCACCCCCAGTCTAATAAATAAAAGCCACAGCTTAGCCCTTCAAGCTTGCAGGAGTCAGGAGACTATCAGTGGCACAGTTTAGTGGTTTGGTTTGAAGGGAAGGGAATCAGCTTCGTTCAGAACGGCCACGAGGTTGCCCGTGTCTGGCAGCTTCGGGTGGGTGGCCTAACTTTTGGCTTGATGAAATATTGACAGAAAAGCATACGACGATCCCTCTAGTTTGATCTCAGACTTTTATAAACATGGTGGAATTTTCTAGATCACACATAGCTGACTTCTGGCTCCTCCTCTCACCTTTGATAATAATATTTGAGCCCAGAGTCGGGGAATTCTTCTTTAGCAGTTAAAATTGTCTTTACAGGTTGGGGAGAGAGGGGAGGTGTTCATAGAGGTATACATTAAAAGGGACCCAACTTCCTTTTCTTCGGAAAGTGCTTGAATTTACCTCTTTCTCCCCCTTAAAGTGTGGACGGAGAGAACAGCACTCTCGTAACTTGAAGTGCATCAAAAAGTGAAAGAAAAATCTCCCTCTTAAAGGAAATGAAGTCAGTGACACAATCAAATAATTAAAATTCAGGCTGAGCCTGACATCTGACCTACCACTCTTGGGCTCTGTGAACGGCAAATAGGAAATACCTAATTTCACGAAGGTGAAATGAGATGAGAGCAGGATGGGGGGAGGGGGCGGGTTCCTGCTGATTAGCAGAATTCTCCCTGCTTTTCAGCTGGGCTCACGACCTGAAAGCCAAGGAGGAGGGTGGCGTTCACCAGGATGTACCAAGCCCGCAAGGGCTGGGCCCTTAGTTTAGGGCTGCGGCAGATTTCCTGGGAGTCTAGCTCACGAAGGATGTCCTGCTTGGTGCTTCCTAAGTGGCCTGTCCTGTGGCGCGTGCCCCCCGCCCCACCCCCCAACGCACACAGGTTCGGACACTCTCCCACCAGGCGGGCTCCCTGATCTCTTTCGAATCAGGCATTTGTTATCTGGGAGCTGTCGAATGCTCTGGGTGTTTGGGTTTGCTCTCCCTCTGCTGTCAGTGTGTCCTGACGGCCAGCGGCCTCGTTGAGCCTTGATGTTCTTGGCAGCTGCCCTTGCAAAAGACCTCCTGAGAGTCCGGTGCCCAGGGGTACCGAGAGCCGGCTACTGGGGGAAATTCGGAGTTGCGACCCATTCAAGTTAAACATCCGGCCAAGTGTGCTGGCCGAGGCTCTGGGGACCATTCGCTCAGGGCGGTGGCGTTGGCTCTCTGAGCCTCCCGATTCCGCCCCGTAGAGCGGCAGGCGAGATTCCGGCCCCTGGATGACCGAGTGACATGCTCCGATGCCAGGGAATCGGCTGCACGTTTCTTCCTGAGGATCTTGAGTGCTTTCATGTGGGCCACTGGCTAGTTTTGATTTCAGTGCTGATTCTTTTCTTTTTCTTGTTGTAAGTGTGTCTCTGTGGTTCTGAAAACCCATTGCTCAATTGTTTTGGTTTTGCCCCCCTCTTGCTCGCTCTCCCTCCCCCCGACTCCCAGTCGGCTGCAAGGAGAGCAGGGACGTCCTGTGCGAACTGTCAAACCACCACCACGACGCTCTGGAGAAGAAATGCCAACGGAGACCCCGTCTGTAACGCGTGTGGGCTCTACTACAAGCTTCACAATGTAAGTGTCCCAGACCGGACCTGCGTCCTTTCTGGGGGTGCCTGTGAGACGGGGTCCCCGGCTCTGGGTCCCCTTCTCCATTGGCTCGTGCTCCCTTAGGCTAGATAACAGGTCTCGGAGCAGCAGCATCCGAGGGGACCTACCCTGTCCCCCGTGGCGGTGCTGAGACGGGACAGTATGGGACGGAGGACGACCCTGAGCCCCAGGTCGGTGTGGACAATGCCATGATGCGGCGGTCCAGTGCCTCAGCGGGGTCTCGCCGGGGCTTTCCAGTCTTCCCTTTGGGAAACCCTTATAGTTCCATGTTTCCCTGCAGTTGGAAGTTTTTTTGCAAAAGAGGGAATGAGAGCAGGCAGGGGAGGGGAGGTGAGATGTGGAGAGAATTGAGTGGAATTGTGTGTGCGGCCCATGCCGTGCTGAGATGGGGCAGGTCTGTCGCCAAAGGGAACAGTCTCACATGACCAGACCTGAGAAAGTTAAATGGACTTTCTGTATAAAAGATGGGGCATGAAATGTCTGGCCGATGTCCTCCAATGTCTCTGTCCTCACCAGCCGAGACCAGAGGGAGCAGCCAAATGGGGTTCTCGTACCGGGGAAGAGAAACTCTTGTGTCCTTTTCTGTATCATCTTTGCAGAATGACAATCGCCACCTCGTCTCCTGAGCGTAGCTGTGTTGTTTCTAATCTTTTCATGGGCGGGCGGGGTACGTTTTGTAACATCTTTACGTTCAAAACAAAAAAAGATCAGATTTTTTTTGTTTGCCTGAAACAACTCCAGCTGACAGGTCTTGACCTAATGAGGCCTGAAGTTTAATTCATCCCTAAGAAGAAAATGGCCCTTTCTCCCTCTCTCCGTCTCTCTGTCTCACTCGTCTCTTTCCTCAGGTTCTGCTAGAGTCCCTTTGCCAATCTGCCCTTGGCAAAGTCTGGGGCTGAACGGGGAAGAGACTTTTTGCTGGGGGCTGCTCTGGCAGGAACTCGGCTCACCCACCCAGGAATACCCGCGAATCGGGAGGAGGCTCTTCTGGGTAGATTTTTTGAGTCACAGGAGAACTTCTTGAGGGTGATCCCAGAAAACTCATCCTTCTTTGCCTTTTGGGACTAAGTTGCTGCCGTGTCCAGGGACCCCGTGACACTCCTGTCCCCGCTTTCCATGTCATCCCCTCTTGCCATGGTCCCTGTGTGATGCCCAGCCTAAGGGAACCGGTCTTCCTGGTCACTGTCTCTTGATTCTCAGACTGTAGCGTATACCTGTTTATCAGCAGGGAACCCCGGGTTCCATTTTCGCTTTGGGGAATTTACTTGCTCCCTGCGGTGGAGAGAAACAGATCCGTGATTACAATCCGGAAGACTTGGGGCATCAGCGTTTTAGGGCTACCCAGCCATCGGCGCAGCCTCTCCCGATTGTTTTTGGCTGTAATTTAAGGTTTTCAAAGAACTTTCAAGTTACTTGATTACATTCGAGCCTCGGATAGTCCTGCGATGCCAACAGAGCAGAAATTATTTTATTTCCGTTGTACTTGAAGGCGTTATGACTCAGAGCATCGACTAGCTCGTGCCAGCGGACGTGCTGTTGGAGTGGAAGAGCCGGGCCTGACTTCAGAGCAGCCCAGGCCTTCCAAGGAGGTCAGGCAGGCGCGTGAGGACCCATAGAGACTGGGGGAAAGTAAACACTTTCTCATCTCAGCATGTCCCAGAGTTCAGTTCAAAGTCAGGAGCCGGCCGCGGCCGCATAGAGACGTTTCGTTCCGCTTCCCACAGAAGCACAGGAACGCGGGGAAGTTCACCAGCCGTAAATTTCTCAGACTGCTTAGCCATGATGAGATGCGGTCTCGATTGTCTGATCTAAGGAAGGTTCGGAAGGATGTCGATTTCTCATCAGATCTTCACTGCTCCCTCCCACCCTGTTCTTTACTCCCTCCCAAACTCGGTGGCTGGGCTCCAGCGATTGGGAGAGGACCTGCTCCCCAGTAGGAGCGGTTTTCCTGTCTTCTCTGGTTTACCGAGACTTCACAAAAGGAGGGAGTTTAGGTGTATCTACCAACGGGAGATCATCCTCGATGAACATTCTCATTGCGTCGTGTTTGCTTGTGCCCATCTGGAGACCTGTGTGTGTGTGCTATGAGTTGGTTCCTTTCTTCTTATCTGGGTGTTTCGATAACTACCTATCTCCGGATCAGTGTAGCTAGGTGGTGTGGAGACTAGTTATCTGGGTTCTCGGGGCTATCTGTGTAACTAGATATTATATTCAGATATCTGGCTGTGTGTATCTGGATCTCCGTGTAAAGAGCTGTGTGTCTAGACATTATCTTGGGGGAAGATTTGATGTGACAGTAGATTCCTATCACCTTTGCAGGCTGCCTCTTTATCTTGATTGTCACTTTGAAGAAGGAACCCTGAGATGTTCTTTTGGCAGTGACCTTTCAGCCCTTCTACCTTCCTGGCATAAGAGGGAACTGGGTCTCAGCTGTGGCATGTGGTTCTGTACCCCTCTTAGCGGTGACCTCTCCCAACCCAACCCCAGGAAGCCGTGTGTCTGCTGTTCCCAGAAGTGTTGGTGGCAGCCCTTTTGCTCTTGGGTACTGGCTTCTGTCTTCCTCAGCTGTGCTTTTCTACCTTGGGGAGCAGACAGGTAGGTCCTGGAGCCAGGAGAGCCTCTTCTCTTCCTCCACTCTCAAGGATGTGGGTGGCAGAGGATGCTTTTCCCCAAGGAGTCGGGAATGATCGGGACCCTGACATTCCCTCCTCGAGCTGGTTTGCCACATTTCCCTGAAGTGTGGCCAGGTTCGTGGTTTGCCGTATGGGGCGCTGTCGGCCATCAGGGTGCCTCCCATTCTGACTCATTGTGGGGAGTGATCAAGGCTTGCTTTGTAAAGTCCCCCACTTGATTCTACCCACCCTCTGCACCCCTAGCAAATGCATTTTAAAAACAACACAGACAGAGGCTTCTCAAAAAGAGAGAGAGATGCTGTGCCGTCTCGGGTGCAGAAGACTAGTTCAAGACTTTCAGAGTCAGGCCCTTGCTTGTCTCTTTCCTGAGCTCACTCCTGCTCTCTGATTTTCAGGATGAGGGTGCTGTTGTACCAGCTCAGTTCTGCATGCCTCTGAGTGCTTAGCAAGGACTCGGCCATGGGTCGGTGGGCCGTTTGGCTGGTTCGGGGTGCAGAGTCAGAACTAGGCAGAAATCGCAACTTTCAGTCATTGCTCGGTTGCTGTGACGGGGGCGAGGGACCACTTTCTGCAGAGACACGCTGCATTGAAACACGGCCCTAGAATATATGCTTTCCAGGGGAGGATTTTCATAGCACCCATTACTGCAAGAAAGCCGGGCAGAAGACCGATACTTTGGAGAGGGCCGGAGCCCTAGTCTCTCCAGGCCCAGGGACTTCAACTCTTGAGGCTGATCACATTGGCAGTGTTTTCTTGGTCCTAGCACTGATTTCCAACGAGGGGACACGATGTTACCTCCCTCTTAAAGACTCTTTCCTTGCTTCCATTCTCATGAAGTATTTGAAGGAGATTCTAATGGAATCAGACCAGTTATGACATCTTAGTTACTGGAGAAATGAGGTTGTATGGGGCGGGTCTCTAGCATACGGTCCTTGGGAACACAGAGATTCCAGAGGCACATTTTCCCCAAAGTGATTGATGTAGATGAACATAATTAACACCCTCTGTGTTGGAACTCCTCACCGGTGATCTCTTGGCGGCCACGACCGAGAGCGGCTGGAACTTGGCCGCAGAACCTGCAGGCCACAGGGTCCCCGGGAAGGAGACAGGAAAGAGTGGGGAGGGGGGAGGAAGGGGCCCCTGAAAGCAGATCCCCAGTGTGGGGCCGTCAGAGCAGCCGTGCTAAGGGGGTAAAAGCCTGTGCCCTTTCGGAGCCAGCCAAAAAAGTAAAAAAAAAAAAAAAAAAATTGATCTTTGTTTAGATTAACAGACCCCTGACCATGAAGAAGGAAGGCATCCAGACCCGGAACCGAAAAATGTCTAGCAAATCCAAAAAGTGCAAAAAGGTGCACGATACGCTGGAGGACTTCCCCAAGGGCAGCTCGTTCAACCCGGCCGCCCTCTCCAGACACATGTCCTCTCTCAGCCACATCTCCCCCTTCAGCCACTCCAGCCACATGCTGACCACTCCGACGCCGATGCACCCCCCGTCCAGCCTCTCCTTCGGACCTCACCACCCTTCCAGTATGGTCACCGCCATGGGTTAGAGCCGCTGCTCGACGCTTCCAGGCCTCCCAGCGAGAGTCCCTCCAGCCCCTCCCACGTGCATTTTTGCAGGAGCAGTATCATGAAGCCGAAGTCCCACGGATCTATGTTTCTGAAGGCAGAAAGCGAAACGACGTTTGCCACTTTCGCAGAAGAGCTCACTGTGCTGTGTTCTCGATCACCGAATCTGGATCCCATTTGTGAATAAGCCATTCAGACTCATGTTCCCTATTTATCAGGGTCTCTCTAGTGCTGTGAAAAAAAAAAAAAAAAGAAAGAAAATAAACCACGCCGAACATTGCATATAACTTATATTGTAAGAAAATACTGTACATTAGATGAAGACGTTATCGCATCTGGGTAGCTGTAAGAAAGGCATGAAGGACGCCAAGAATTTTAAGGAACATGGGGGATATAAAGTGCGGAAATTAAGAAGAAACTAGGTCTGCTCCTCTCATGGATGAACCGCCAGTGTCGATTCCTTGCACTGGTCGTGGTCCTTGGATGGATTAAAAGGAAAAAAAAAAAAGCAAGAAAAAAAGAAAAAAGTCGTAGGCAAATCATTTGTTCAAAGCGGTGGGCCTCTGTCTGGAAAATTCTGTCAGTTCTGGGCAGTCAGTGTGGCCACTCACGCACGCACGCATTGCCATCGAGGGGGTCCGAGAGCCTCACTCAGGCCTCCCCGCTTTGTGAACAAGTCCCTGTAATTGTTGTTTGTATGTATAATTCAAAGCACCAAAATAAGAAGAGATGTAGATTTATTTCATCCTATTATACAGACTGAACGGTTGTACAAATTTATTTACTGCTAGTGTTAAGAACTACTTTCTGTTTTCATATTTTCCTTCTCTCTCGATTTTTTGGTTGAATAAACTAGATGACCTTCAGTTGACCTAAGGTGGTCTGTGCTCCGGAGGGCTTCTTTTCCATTTTGTTTTTTGATGATATTTATTAACTAGCTTCTAAGGGTACAGCGGCATCTGTCTCTTCCCTCACGCCTCCTGCAGCCCAGGCTGTCAGGGAAGCAAATGTATGAGCGCCCGCCGTGCATGCCAGGGACCTCGGCCGGACAGACGGGGTCCTGAGAGCCACCCGCCAATTGTCAGCGCCTGTCGTGTTCTGTGTTAGTGATCACCGCCTCCCATGCAGTCTGTTGGAATACTAGTGTAAAAATTAAGCGCAGATTTCTTCAAACAACCAAATAACATTGTTATCAAAGCGGGGGGGGGGGTGCGCCAGGCTCTTAGAGAATCTGGTAGCTCCCGATAATTTAAAAACAAAACCCAAACGGGAAGTTATTCACTAGGAGATAATGCAAACGTTTATTCCTTTGGGAAGCCAGGCATCTTTGGAGCGCAGTCTGCAGCCTGGGGAGCGGGGAGGCCGGGGAGGGGGGAGTAACTTCTGTGCCCCCTTCTGTGTCCCCTCGTGAGCTGTAGCCCCTGTCCTGCGGGCCCCGAGCAGCCACGTCTCCTTGCAGGGGCAAGGGGGACCATTCCCTTGCGGAGATCCCGGGCGGACTGCGGATGATGGATCCCCGCGCTTCTCTCTGCAAGAGGTCAAGGAGCTGGGCCGGTGCCTGAGATCATCTCTGTGCTGCTTTTCTACTGTTGAATATCACCGCAGTGGAGGGTTTGTTGGCATGTTTGCGACACACGAAATAACCGTTTTTGTAACTTATGCTGTATAGTTTCCTTTTACTCTGTTGACAGAACGTGTAACCCATGGCGCACATTTTAAAATCTCTGTTAAATCGCCTCTCTGCTTTCTTAGCAAATATTTTAAACCTAAAGCTAAATGTTGAAATAAAGGAGTTAGAGACTGAACTCACACGCAGACGGAGATCTTACTGGCTCCTGATTCATGATCTGCCCTGGGAATGTCGGTTTCCCGTGACTTCTGAAGCACTGAAGGAACTCTTCATCTGTTGCCGTATTGAATCTGGGTGATTTTCTCGTGTAGCTCCCGTGTCTTGGGATCTGCCACCTCCTTTCTTCGGGAACAGAGTTAATTCCCTGTTCTTTCACCTTAAGACCAGGGAGTTCAAATTCTTGACATTCTTGGGGGCAGGATGATGGTGGGGGTGGGGGGGTGCACGTAGAAAAATCCCAAACTCAGTATTACATTTTGTCTGAGGGACCGTGGCCAAGCTGGCATCTGAGACCCTACTCCTTCTTCAGAGAAGGGTTGTTCTGTCATCCTGTCCGTGGATGTGGCATTCTAAGATATTTCTAGAAGATGGTGCAGAAGATCTAAAATACACATGATAACGATGATTCAGTTTCTTCGTTAGAGAGTTATCACGTGTTTCCGTGGTTTTGTTCTTTTTTGTTTTTTGTTTTTTCTTTTGACTTCACTTAAGCAGAAGACAGGAGAAGGTTTAATCTAGAAAACGCAGAACAAGATTGTAGATCTAAAATACTGCTCAAATATTTTTGAGGAAATCTTAGCCCTATTAATTTTCAACCCTCCCCCCTTTTTTTTAAAAGAGATTTTATTTATTTATTTGAGAGAAAGGGAGGGGGCAGAGGGAGAGAGAGAAGGAGGCTCCCCACTGAGCAGGAACCCCCCCCCAATCTGGGACTCGATCCCAGGACCCCAAAATCATGACCCGAGCCAAAGGCAGATGCTGAACCAACTGAGCCGTCCAGGCACCCTGAACTTCAACCTGTTTGGCCTCACTTTTGAGACAGTTGCCTTAGCTTAGCCCTAGGAGGTTAGCGTGATATTATGTGCAAATCTGGATGATTTCTTTAAAACATTTAAAAAACCAACCTCATAGAAAAAAATAAATGGTAGAGTCATGGGATGCTTTTGCTATTTACGAACCCCTCTTATATATGACGGTAGAAATTCATGGAGTAAGAATTTAGATTTTTTTTTAAGATTTTATTTATTTATTTGACAGACAGAGATCACAAGTAGGCAGAGAGGCAGAGAGAGAGAGAGGAGGAAGCAGGCTCAGTGCTGAGCAGAGAGCCCGATGCCGGGCTCGATCCCAGGACCCCGGGATCATGATCTGAGCCGAAAGCAGAGGCTTTAACCCACTGAGCCACCCAGGTGCCCCAAGAATTTAGATTTTGAGTGCTTCTATTATGTAGTCAGCACATACCTGGGGAGTGTCTAGACTGAAGTCCGCTTCAAACCACTATTTTTTTTTTTTTAACAGACCAGGCAATTGAGAAACCCAGACTCCAGTGTCTTACTCTTACTGTGTGACATTTACATGTGATTCCCCTTCACCGGTGATGGGCCCGGTGGTGAGACTCCCAGCTGGGCCCCTGGGTTAGTCGCAGACGTGGGGACATCCAGAGCCCACTTTCTGAGATCCGTGTCTATTTTCTGAAATTGCTTTTGGTTTTAGAGTCATTTTTCAAGGTTTGTCCTCATCCCAGGACTTTATTTTAGTGTGGTCTAGTCAAGAACTGGGTGAAGGAAGGAAGCAAAGCCTTCCCAGGTGCAGTGTGCCTGACCTGAATTTAGCAAAAAAAAAAAAAAAAAAGATCTAGTCCCCAAATTCAAACTCAGGAACTCATATGCCATCCTTCCCTCCCCAACCCCCATATTTTCCTCACGATGGCAACTTGTCCCATGTACATTTCAGACATCTCGGAGCATTGTGACTCCATGCCGTCTTTCACTCCACACCCTTCTCCGTCCTCAACCTCAGATCCACCCCAAAATCTGGAATAATTTTTGTGATCCTGGACAGCAGTGATTAACTCCTCTAGACAAATTCCCTTCAATTTCCAGGCTAAGCCGAGATTAGAAATAATAATAATAATAATAATAATAATAATATTGGAATGATCACATCTTATATATAGTTTTCACCACGACACAAACAAAGTTACTATTATCTGAAACAGCTGAGCGACATACCGACCCCTTTCCTGCCCTTTCAAATGAACTTCTGGGACACATTTCGTTTCCTGTGTTCCATCTTGCTCAAACGGGGTCCATATGCCCTCAGATTGGATGTGTCCACTCCCTCTGCAGAAATGCAAAAGAGTGGTAAGTTGGGACGTCAGAGAAACTCAGTGGTTATTTGAACGTGGGACCACAAGTGTTCTGGAGTTTGGAAGCTTGGGTTTCATCTCTGGCTGATCTGCCAGTGAATGGAGTGCTGTGAGGCCGTTGGTGGGATTTCTCTGGGAATCGGCTCTTGATCTGTGTAATTGGATGGGATGATCCGTAAGACCCACTGGGGAAGATGAATACTGTGATTCCATTGGATTTTTTTCCCCCTTTTTCCCCCCCTTTATTAGGAAAGGTGTCCTCACACCCACATCAGAGTTTAGAGCAGGCTCTTCTAAAAGCCTAGAGTGATCTGATCGTAGGTCATAAGACTGCAGATGGGCCGGGGGTAATTGGTCCTTGGTACTATCTTGCAAAACACAAATGACCTTGTATGTTGCGACTGCTCACCCAGGACCGGAGTTCGTGTCCCGGTCTGCAGATCTCCCCTCCTCTGTCTGAAGCGTTGGCAGGCCCCTCTTGAGTGGAACACACCGGACTTGCTTGGCCTGCTGATGTTGGCAGAAAGGTTCATATTTCAGTCATCCATTGTCTAAAGAAATTCTGCCTGAATTGCTTACAGGCTATTCTAGGGAGATCGCCAGAGCCCAGTGCTTCATTTTCCTGGTGCCCCCCCCCCACCTCCTTGCAAAAGGGGATAAGCAGAGGAAGTAGATCTGTGTCCCCCCGGCCGCTGTTCCTTTTAGGGTGCTCTGGACAGGTCCTGGTGTCTCCGGGCCCTTCCTTGCACCCCCAGCTTCTTTGCAGGGGATCCTGGCGCATTAGCCACATTGTTTGTGCTGCACTTTTCCAATCCCCTGTCATGTCTGTGTGCAGCTTGGCAGGCTGTACACTGGAGTGGGGATTTGGAGAGCTGGCCCACGGCCCCTCCCTCCCCGCCCTCTGCTCCCCCCCACCCTCCAGGTCTGAGACTGAACACAAGGCCGGCATTATAAAGCCCCATCCATACGGCCTGCGCCCCAGTCCCAGCCTAAAGACGTGCAAACACCTGGAGGGGAGTGTGTGTTCCGAAGGAGGCAGCTTCGTGCTTGGGAATGTGCGTGGACACATGCAAGGCCTTCAGCTCCTGGAAGGGGATCTAATTCTTCATAGGATCTGAAGGGGACCCCACCGCAGAAAGACTAGGACGGTGTCCACAGGATGCCAAAACCACGAGGTGGGCCATGAATGAATCGACCAATCCGGTTTTTCTTTGTTTTTGGCCTTGGGGCATAAAAACGTTCTAGAAAATAAAA